AAGTGATTATCTTTATATCCATTTAACATATAAATTTATTTTTTCATTATAAAAGTGATATTTGTTGTTTTTAGAAAAGTTGAACTATGATAAAAATAAAAATACAAAGAAGGAAACAAAACCACCCTTAAACCCACTATCTAGAGACCACCGGTGTGAGTGAACATATCTTGAAGTGATTACTGACACTTCATTTTATGCATGTTGTTGTTCTTACTTGCTTTCTAATGATTGCATAATCTTCTACTGAATGATTATACTACAATCCACTTAATCATTCCCCCATTGTGAGGGTTTAGTTTGCTCAGAAATTTTAGTAAAAAACTTTGTGTTTTTTTTTTTCCATACGTTAGATCTCCAGTATTAGAAAAACTGAGTCATGGGGCATAAATTGTTTTGCAGTTGGTGATTCCCAAACTGAAAATCTTCTCTGTGGAAGTGGCTGCTTCAAGTGGAGGGGAAGGAGGTGGGGGTGAGCCCTGCTCTCCTATGGTCAGCCTTCCAACACTTCTTGCTCCCCATGCATAACCCCCTCCTTCCCCTCCCCCCCTCCCACCTTCCCGAACTCTTCCACAAATAAGTGTGCCAGAAGTGTGTCCATTCTTGGTTTTGCTGTGTTCTCTGCTCTACACAAAGCAGGGATTGGTTATCTCTTCTTTTGAAGTTTCAACTTAGGTAAATAGCAGGTGAAACCTACCCGTTCTCTTTCTTCCTGAGCCAAGAAGGGTGACATTGCACTTTGCTTTGTTTAGGAAATAACCTCTGTTTGCCAGAGGAAGTTTCAGAGTTACTGCTATCTCTCTGGCCTTCCCTCCTCCCCATATTCTCTCCAGCTGGGGCCCTCGAGGAGTTGGTTTACCTGGCCACAGCTGCCAGGGGTGTGCGCTCTGCAGCTAGAGCCATAAATAATGGCTGCATCATGTGCCCTCAGGGAGCACAGAGCAGAACCAACAGGAAGAGCATCTGTTTGAGGTTACTTGTTATTATATTTACTATACTCTGTGGTTTTAATTTTTTGTGTTTGGCTTAATAGTAATAATCATAATAAATTGACATTTGTGGAGTGCTCACTGTATCCATGGTAGGAAAGGCAGTGTGATTAGGAAACCATTGACTCTGAGATTAGAAAAACATATCCCCCTTCCCTGCTACTTACAGCAAGGCACCTACATCTTTGATTTTAGTTTTGATGTCTTCCATAACCTCCTCAAAGCATTGTGGATATGATCACAGAAAAAAAATTCTATACTATAAAGTGATATGTTCATATGAAAAAATATTACTGTAATTATACATGTTCTCTTCAATCTTACACCATTAACAATCAAGGCAGTAGATACACCTCTTCAGCTACAAGATTGGTGAATTTCATTTTCTGAAATTTTAGAGTTATTCAAATTACTATATTTTCAGGATACTTTGTCCATTTAAATATTGGGGTAATCCCTACTGTTTTCTTTAATAAAATGTAGACAACACTCCTTGGTTTCTCGATAATGAGCAGCATTACCAATGAAATGACAGACTTTTTGAATAAGTAGCAGTTGATTTGTCAAGCATTTACATTTGAGGGCTAACCTAAGCAAATAACTTTTTTTTTTTTTTTGGTGATAAAAGCTGTAAGAGCTAAAATATCAGTATCTAAAGACATTGAAGTTGAGTAGCTGTTGTAAGTAATCATATTTTTGCGTTTTTATGACATTTAATAAAAGCAAGCTTCCCAGCTGTTTGCATGAATGTGGGGGTGGGGTGTTTTGACAGGTTGTGCGTGCTTACAGCAGAGAAACACGGACTGATGACTGCAAGTTGACTTCTTTGTGTTGGGTGTTCAGTGTCCTTTCCTAGACTCTGCCAAGTTCTGCTGCTGACCAACATTCATTTTTTAGTGCATTTCTGCTTCTGAACCATTTTAAAGAGTTCAGGTTTTGCAAGAAAATAGAGGTATCTCATAATGAGAAATGTGACACAGTCCTCTGCAACCCTTCCCTTTCTTTGAAAGGGATAATCCAGACGTGAATAAGGCTTTTGAGTCATGCAGCCTCATTTTATTTTTTTTAGGGGGTGAATTTGGACACATTGCTTAACCTACCTTGTGTTTCGTCTTCCTGTCTGGTGATTTTGCAACTAGCACTCAGTAGATACCATAATAAACCAGAAAACCCCAGGGAACTTACTTAATTCTAAAATTAGGCAACACTTGAGATATATCAGGAAAATCTTGATACTCAGGCAGTGATGACGAAGAAGTTATTGTCTTTTTCTGAGAACATATTGAAGCTACCTTTGTTAAAAACTATAAGACTGTTTACATTTGTTATTTTCCATCATTTTTGGGGAGCATTTAAAAAATTGTTTTTACATGGAGGTATTTAGGAATATTCAAGGATAAATGTTAAAATTTGAAAAAATTATATATAATAGAATTCATATCAATATATACACTATTATTACTAATCATTAAAAATACTCTATAGAGGCCAGGCATGGTGGCTCACACCTGTAATCCTAGCACTCTGGGAGCCCAAGGTGGGCAGATTGCTCAAGGTCAGGAGTTCAAAACCAGCCTGAGCAAGAGCGAGAGCAAGACCCCCTATCCCCCGTCTCTACTATAAATAGAAAGAAATTAGTTGGTCAACTAAAAATATATAGAAAAAATTATCCAGGCATGGTGGCATATGCCTGTAGTTCCAGCTACTTGGGAGGCTGAGGCAGAAGGATCGCTTGAGCCCAGGAGCTTGAGGTTGCTGTGAGCTAGGTTGACACCACGGCACTCTAGCCCAGGCAACTCTATCTCAAATAAAATAAAATGCTCTATAGTAGGAAAATGGCATCAATTGGTAATTCATAAAAGGAGAAATACAAATGGCCATTTAACCTAGGAAAAATATTTAGACTCATCAGTAATTAAATAAAAAATTGAGCAATGAGTTATGAGCTATCAGATCAAGAATATTGAAAATCTTAAAAGTTGGTATAGGTGAGAAGTATACCTATTCTCTTATGGAAAAGTAGAATAGATGAGTACAGGCTTTCTGGAGGACAATGGAACAATATATAAACAATCTTTAAAGGGTAAATACTTTTTGATTCAACAATTTGGCCCCTAGACATTTATGCTGAGAAATCAGTTAGGCAAGCAGGCAAAAATGTATTTATAATGTTCTCCATCATTTCTAGTGTAGTGACAAAAAACAAGAAGCAACTCACATGCTCATTGCTAGAGTATTGGTTAAAGAATTTATGACCATGTCTATACAATAGGCCATCAGACAACCATTAAAAATGGTGTGAAGGAGGTAGGAGTGGCTAATGTCTAAATAGGAATATCTTATTCATCTTTGCATTATATTAGTACCTAGCTTAGCCCACAAAATTTGATTTAAAGAAGAGACTCTCCAGGGAGATGTGAGATGCCCTGTTCTTCCTCTTAGATTTCTGAGAGCTTCTTTATTCGGCCACATTATAAATCAAAGTCATAGTCAAACCTGAGAGTGGTATAATATTAATACTTTGGAATATGATAGACCTTTTTCCATTTTCTGACCCACCAACTCTTCTCATTCCCCTGGATAATTTTGATCCTTTTGAAAAAATTGTACAGGATATCCAGAAGATAACCTCTTCTCGACACCTCCACCCTACCACCCTAGGCACAGCCACCATCAATCACACCTCACCTGGGTTTTAGCAATGGCCTCTTGACAGGTTTTGATAGGTCTGTCTTCTCCCCCAAAGTTTATTCTCAACATAGAAGACAGACTGATCATTTTAAGTCCATGAGATCCTATTATTCCTCTGCTTGAAACCTTGCAAAGATCCCTATTTCTTTCCGAATCAAAACCACATTCCTTAAAACAACTGGCAGTGATCTCCATGACTGGCCACCAGCCCTGTCATTATTCTGATACAATCTCCTGCTATTTCCTCCTTCACTTCCTCTGCTCTGGCCAGCCTGGCCTCATGGCTGTCCCTTCAACAGACCAGGCATGCTGCCACCTTAGGACCTTCACCTCCCTCAGCTCCTTCAGGACTGCATGTAAATCTTGGCTTCTCAATGAGGCCCCATGTGTCCACCATATTTAATACTGCAATCTGTCTTCACGCCTCCTCAGGGCTGTCCATCCCTTGCATCCTGCTCTGCTTTGTGTTTTTTTTTCCTTAGTTATCTTTTATGTTTGTTATTTGTATCCCCTAAACTTGAATGTAAGCTTTATAAAGGAAAGCATCTTTTTCTGTTTTGTTCACCAATGTATCCCAAGGAGCTAGAAGGGTGAGTGGCCACTGGTAGGAGCTACAAATATATATATATTTGTTGAATAGTTTGAATGGAAGGTAATTATATAAATATATTAGTGGCAATTAATAAATAGATAATTTTTACTGAGCATCTGCCATGTGCCAGGAGGTATGTATCATCTCATCGAATGTTCCCAGTGAATTTATGAAGCAGTTATCATTAAGACCAGCAAATGACAGATTGGGAAGATGAGAAATGGAGACATGAAAGTTCATTATCTAAGGACTCATAGCCAATATAATTTAGAACTTAGATGTAAACTCAATAAGCCTGACCCCTGTAGACTTTATTCAGGCAGAACACTGTTATTTCTGTATTATTTACTTATTGAGATTCTACAGAATGTCATTTGGGAAAGAGGAGTTTTCTATATAAATATTTTTGGCAACCACTGTCCTAAGTATTTGAACTAAACCAAAATCTTATGAGGGCAATTCCAAGCCTTTAGCAGATTTCCATGTAACTAAATTCTGTGACATTTGAAATCTGTCTCCACTCTTGCCTTTGGTACTTGGTTTTAAAGAAGAAAAAGTAAACAACTTTTGCTTATTTAAGGACTTTTCTTCTATTCATATTAAAAGAAAAAAATCCTATTCCTCAACTCTACATCTTCATTGTGCTGAGTTTTTTGTTTTAGTTTTGCATCGTAGGTCACTGTTAGTCCCGAGGATTGTCCCCTCACACTCCTCATTCTCTCTTCTAGGAGAACGATATAAACCTGACCCACATCGAATCTAGACCTTCTCGTTTAAAGAAAGATGAGTATGAGTTTTTCACCTATCTGGATAAACGTAGCGGGCCTGCCCTGGCTAACATCACCAAGATCTTGAGGCACGACATTGGCGCCACTGTCCACGAGCTTTCCCGGGATAAGAAGAAAGACACAGGTAATAATTAGATGAATTTTGTGATGTTTGTGACTCTACACTGTCTTTATAAAATAACAGCAAAAGTAATATCTACCCTGTAAGACTGATGAGTGGATGTAGGTTGCGGACCTAGACAAGTGCCTAGCATATTGTATTGTAGATATAGAATGAATGTTAGGTCTTTTTCCCCTTCCTCAAGATAGTAATTGCTTATATTAGCAGTTTTCTTTCTGTTGCTGCAATTTATATATATTTTTCATTCCTGGGTTATCATGCTCTTGATCTTCTATCTCCAGAGGTGAGATGATTAGCGTGTCTGGGGTGCTTTCTATAGAAATGCACATTCAATCAAAGTCTACTGATTTAAAAGAGGAAATTTTATGATAATAATAAATTTTTCTATTTTATATATTTAAAAAAAAAGAAATGCACATTCAAGATAAGATGCCTAGTTATCTCTGTTCCAACCAGAGGGCTCTCCCTAAATTCTTCTCGTGACATGCCACTCTCGGAGCTGGGACTGTGAGTCTCCTTGTCCCTAGAACTTTCATTGTCATTGTCCATCTCCTTATCTGTGGGCAGAAAGGCTTTCTTTCCTATATTTATATCCTCAGAGTTTAGCATAATGCTTGGTACACAGGTGCTTAGCAAATATTTGTGAGTGAATGACTAAATACAGAAATTGCCAAGACTTGCTTGGTCCCATTATCTGCTTACTGAAATGCTGCCCACTGTCCTTTGGAGGGGAGGAGAGCAATAGAGTGTAGGTATCATAAATATGGACTTAGGATTGAATCGATTTCATTCAAGTCCTGCCTCTTCCACTTGTTGCTTTGAGACACCTGACAAGTCCTTTTAACTGCTCTGACTTTAATTTTTATGGGGCTTTTGCAAGGATGCAATTAGAACCATACCTGGCATAGTATACGTCTAGATACATGATGGCATGTGGTGTTTGTCATGATTATGATTAGCCTAAAAAGAATACAGAGGCACAAGGTGATCACTTTTTAGGGTTCAAATTCATATTCCGATGAACCATTTTCATAGACTTTATTTTTTAGAGCAGTATAGGTTTACAGAAAATTTGTACCAGGAGTATAAAGAGTTTCCATATGTCGTCTTTCTCTCCCATCCTGCCCCCATCCCAGTAGTATGGGTGCACTCTTTTATAACTGATGAGCAAATATTGCTGTACTATGATTAACTAAAGTCCATAGTTTACATTTGGGGTCACTCTTTGTGTTTACAATTCTACTGGTTTTGACAAATGCATGATGTCATTTGTCATACAGAATTGTTTCACTGCCTTAAAAATGCCCTGTGCTCCTGCTGTCCATTCCTCCTTCTGTACACCCTCCCTCCAGCAACCACGCATCTTATTATAGTCTCTATCATTTTGCCTTTTCCAGAATGGTATCTAGCTGGAGTCCTGCAGTAGCCTTTGTAGAACAGCATCTTTCACTTAGCAATACACACTTAAGTTTCCTCCATGTCTTTTTGTGACTTAATAGTTCATTTTTTTTTATTGCTGAGTAATCTTCCATTGTATGGATATGCCACAGTTGTTTTTTTTTTCTTTTAATCCATTCATTTATTGAAGGACATCTCGGTTGTTTTCCAGTTTTTGGTGATTCTGAATAAAGCTGTTATCAACATTTTTGTGCAGGTTTTTGTGTGGACATAGGTTTCCAACTCATGTGGGTAAATAGCTAAGAGTGTGATTGCTGAGATGACCTTTTTTTAAAAAAAATAATCAGTTTTTTTCCTACTGTAAAATCAAGTTTCTTTGCAAAATACTGAAAACTTTAGGTCAAAAAGATGTCAAGCACTGTAGCTTAAATTAGCATTTTAATAGGCAGAAATACTTTAAAATGAGACAAGATCCATCTCATAAACAGGGCACAGACACATTTTCTAAAAGGTAGCTCCAAGGCCTTCCTAAGAGAGCCCTTCTTTTCTGCCTCCTGTAGATATAACTGAGGCAAGGAAGCCCAGCCCAAGGTTCTGGCTTTGCAGAGACTAGACAGCCACGCAGATGGGCTCAGGTCTCGGGGGGCAGGCACTTGGAATTCCTCCCCGGATCAGCCCTATCTGCCTTTTCCCCCCTCCAGCCTCCCAAGCTGCTTCCCTGATGGCTGCCCTCTCCTGCTTTTCCGGCCACCTGCTCCCGACAGGAGCTGCAGGCCTCCGGACAAAGGGGCAGCCTGATCCTGGGGCTACTCTGCCTCTGGTCAGAGCAGGTGGAGGCTGGGCCAGCTGGGGCCCTCGGGGAGGAAATCAAAGCAACTGACAGGCAGGCAGGCAGCCCCCAGGGGAGCCAGGGAGATGGAGTAGACCAGCTGGAGCGCTGGCAGCCTGAACGGGAGGCTCAGAAAGGAGGTTCTGAGCAGAGATATAGCAGGAGTGTTAGGAGCCCAGACCCCCGACCCGGGGCATACCACGCTTGGTGTGACCTTGGGTGAACTATTAACCCTTGAAGTCTCCCACTGTATCAAACGGGAGTAGCATGAGCGTACACCTTGAAGGATTGATGAAATCACACTGAGGACAGAGCAGAGCATGTTTAAATGCTTAATTGTTATTATAAACACTGGCATGAGCGTAGGAGCCACCAAAAGCCAGCCTGTGCACAGCTACTTTTTCAGAGATTGTGAGATCTGAAAGATGGCCTCAGAGGGCATGCAGCCCTACAGATTCCTTAATTTTTCATTGTAAAAACAGAGGCCATGACTTGCCTAAGGCATAGAGTGGATTCTGTGCGGTCAGGGCTGCAGGCTTGTTGAGTGCCCTCTGTGCCGGGCACTGTGCTCGGAGCTGGAGAGAGAGGGCCACCTGCCTGTTGTTTAGGAGCTCACAGTCTGCCAAGGGGGATCGCGACGCCAGATAAACACCGTGGAAGGACCAGCGCTGCGATGGAGACAAGGTTGATGGAATTCAGTCTCGTCTCCACTTGTGTTTAATTCTAACGACCCAGGAAGTGTGAAAGCAAAAAAGCTGATGTTTTCACACAGCGGTATCATGCGATCACTGTCAGCCTTATCAGAGGCTGGTGTAGCACAGGTTCAGTTCCCTGGCAGGGCTCCTCACCTGTTGCTCAAAATGGCGGGTGTTGGTATCTGAAGTTTGGATGATATTTTACCGCTGCAGGAAAAATGCCTGAGACCAATCCTTTAAAACCACGTGTGTTTCATGACCCTTATCTCTTCGGATAGTTTGTCACCGCATCCACAGTGGCTGCCCCCACCTGACTTTAATTTACATGTACCGGAGCAGCAGATGCTGAAGCGGCTCAACTTTACACCTGCTGAGAGAGACAGCCCTTGGGTTTCTTTGGTAGTTTTTGTGAAGTGGAGTCTGGGCCCAGAAATGGATCTTTTTAGGGAAAACCGCCAGCCCTTTGCAAAATCGCTCTTTCTGTAGGACTCAGTGGGAGGATGATCAGAGGAAGAAAAGCATCGTAGTAGATCGGAACCTTTGATTCTTTCTCTGGACAAAATACCCTTTTTATTGAGGGACTCAGATCTCAGGGGTGAGTCTGACAGCAGGCCCAAGTGGGAGATCTGAACCCCTCAAATCAATTAAGTTAAACCACTTTCCACTCTAGTTTTTCACTCATTCAAAGAGCCATGTGGGTGATAGAAAATGAAAGTTTTTCAGTTTCTTAATTGCTAAAGTTCCCCACCCAAAACAGCTTAAGGGAAGGTTAATTATGGTGACATGTTAAAGAAACCCCAACCTTCTCAAATGCCTCCTGGAGAAGTTGATGTGAGTTTAATAGGATTTTAATCCAGAGAGTCTTTTGAATACTTGAGTCTATTCTCCTGCCACCCTCTCTCCTGATGACCTCAAATCCTTCTTCAACCCAACATGAAAGAGCATTAATATCTTCCATCGATCAATCTACTAATCCTTTTACCTTTCCCTTTGAGTCTTCTGCATAACATTACATCTAGTGGGGGATAGAAAACTCCTACATGGAGACAGATTGCAGGCGGAGGAAGCAGACAAACAAATGTCTTGGGCAAACAGAGGTATAGGAGCATCACCTTTTCAGAAATTTATCTGTTTGGAGTTATTTTCTAAGAGCAAACGGACATTTATTGGATTTTGTTTAAGCCGTGATTATAAGGGTCCCGGTAGGGAAGCAGAGTGCATCCACACTGCCCGTGAAAGTCTGCTTTTGTGGAAAGCAGAAAGGCGACTGATCCAGCTAGCCCACGGGCACTTATGATATTGTGGAAGACAAAAGCAACAGTGTTACACTTATTCCTTCCCTCTTATAGTTCCTCCCTCCCCTCTCCAGTTTCCTCTTTTCTGCTTCCATACTGCTGCCCTGGAGAACAGTGCTGAGTAAGGCTGATGTCTCAGATCAACTGGGGTTGCCGGGAGGATAGGATTCCTTCCAGGACTCTGAAAAGCCTCTGGGATTGTGGGCAAAATGGTTCAGGTGTCTGTGAATGCGTATTTTTTAAGAGAGAAGAATTTTCAAAGGGGCCATGGTTCCCAAAGAGTTAAGACTCTTTAGAAAGAAGCTGCTTAGGGCTGCAGGGGAATCCAGATGCTTGGAGTTTTCCCCCATTTCAACCACTTGTGCCTTTCTTTCCTCCCCTCCTCCCTCTGCTTGGCCATTCTGTCTCCACCTGCCCACTGCCCTCTTCTCAGCTCTAAACCTGCATTTCACTTTGCCCCACGTGTATCTCTCATGGCTGTACATGCCGTGGCCCTGGGTCTGTAGGAGACCAGGTATCTGCCTGTTTGTAAAAACACACAGGCTCGATCGCCTTTTTCAACCTTTACCTGAATGCTTCCTACGTGCCTTGATGTAGCCCTAAGTCCTGGTGGCTGAGGAAGTGACATTTGCCTCAGCAGACGGCCACATTGAGACAAGCAGGCCCCAGCTGGGAGGACAGGCCCATTCAGGAGGAGGTGACACCCACCCAGGAGCTGGAAGCAGAGTCTCTTAGTGTCAGTAGCATACTGCTTGCTCCCTGCAGTCTATTAGGGGCAGCTCTCTT